CAGCTCCCCTGCGCTGCGTGACGGTTTTTTCTCACGCGGGCAGCGCGGTGTCGTCATCGGCTCCCAGTGCCCGACGGAAACCCGTGCGGAGCGCCTTGCTGCGAGCGCTGTGTGCGGTTGGGGTTTATTTTGGGGTTTATTTTTTTGGTAGTTTTGTTGTTTTTTTTCCAAGCAGCTTCAAGTATTTTTTTGGCCACTGCTGTCTAAAGAGATGTTCCCTTTCGAATATGGGGTCTGCGTTTAGGTAGAGAAGTGAAATATGTGAAGCTGATTAGAACTTCAACTTCCACAAATACGTAGATTTTTCTTGAAAATACTGAGTTAGAAACTCCGTGCTGTGCTGAAATAGGCCAGTGTGCATGACCCAAGTGTAATTAAGTGTGTGAAATTGTTATTAATAGACCGTCTTAGTCCTGAAATGATGTAGCTTTTGGCTACTGTAATTGCACGTAATCACGTTGTAACCGCACACGTCGTACGCTGACTTGATACTGTGAGCTTTGCTTGTGATAGAAATAACTACAGCAGGGCAATATAAGAACTTTAAATGTTGGAAAGCAGAAGCTGTGACTCAGTAGCTCTTTGTATGCATAGAATTTTTTGCTGAATGCATGGTTAAGTTTTTTTGAATATATTTCTGCCTAAGGCAAGTTCTGCCTCAGGTGAGTTTAAAGTTACAGGCTTTCTGCATATCTCAAACCAGATCTGAGATCCCTTGGATAGTGTATTTCCTTCATGAACTAATATGGTTTTTATGTATTGCGCAGCATCAATGTGATCTCACTTTGAGTGGGTGTTCAGTGTACATATAAACTTGCTGTGTGCGTATACGGGGAGGGTAAGTTGTTGGAAAATCACAGCTTAAAATGTTATTTCTTTCTCCCCACTCCATGTATCTGATTTTTATTAGAGATCTATATTTCTGTTGTGTTTTTATAGATGAGCATGAAAAAAGTTTGGTTTTTTTTTCAGGATAGCTTTTTATGTTGCTGGGACTTCAGATGTGCTCTATTGAATAAACAGAGGAACATTCTCAAAATAGAAAATAGAAGACTGATTTTGAACAGCTAATTCATTTTGTGTTCTAAATCCTATTAAGTAGCCATGGGTGGGTGGTTGTGGGTGTGTTTGTGGGGAAGTGTTTCCTCCTCAAAGTAAAACTGAAGAGCAGATCTTGTAACTTCACAGATCTCAAAACATGTGGAGATTAGTTGGGGTTTTTTTCCCTTCAATTTAACTTTCACGTGAAGTTTTAAAGTGCAAAGTTCAAAAGGTGGAAGTAGGTCTCTCATATTTCCTAGGTGTCAAGAGCACTTACCACAAAGTATAAATTGCCTGCCTCCTGAGTTTTAAGGTGGCAGCATGTGGCAGCTGTCTTGCACAGAGGAGTATTTCCTCCTGCAGGAGTATTTCCTCCTGCAGTAACCCAGTCCTAACAAAATAAATGTGTCTTATTGGATGCCTGGTTCACTTTAAACTTGTGAATTTGAATTAACTTCTCTGGAAAGAAATAAAGTTGTTTTCAAGCAGCTGACTCGTAGTGATGGTGATTCTTTCTTGTCTCTGGTTCCCACCAAGCAGACATTTGAGAAAAGAATTAATCTTTTTGTCAGTGTTGTCTTCCATATAGAACGAGGGGGAATGGTTTTAAACTGGAAGAGAGTAGATTTAGACTGGATATTAGGAAGAAATTTTTTACTGTGAGGGTGGTGAGACACTGGCCCAGGTTGCCCAGGGAAGCTGTGAATGCCCCCTCCCTGGAAGTGTTCAAGGCCAGGTTGGACAGGGCTTTGGGCAGCCTGATCTGGTGGGAGGTGTCCCTGCCCATGGCAGCAGGGGTGGACTGAGTGATCTTTAAGGTGCCTTCCAATCCAAACCATTCTATGATTTTATGATTCTGTGATGTATAATAAGGATCAAAATACAAATATCTGAATGTGGGAATGGCATTCTTGTGAGTCATGAGAAGTGCTTACTTCACATTTTCACAGTGGGAAATGAACAGGCTGTTTGAAAAATGAGGTTGGTTGTGATCTGTTGGTGTTGAGATAATGCTTAAACTATGAGGTGGACACATAAAAGTGGAATTGTGTTTGTGCAGGTAGAGGTAACTTTTTTTAGTTCCCTAAAGAGTCATTAGGCAAATCGTAACATTACAAATGTTTTCTTAATCAATTTAAATTATTTCCACAGTTTAGAAGGTAGAGGTACCTAAGGTTGCCTGGTGTTTCACATTCATCCATTTAATTCTAATTGCTAGGGTTTTTGTGGGGGTTAGTTTGTCTGTTTCTCCCCGAAGCTTATCCATTTGGAATACTTCCTTTCCTTCTGTTCTTTGTCCCTTGCCTTCAACAGATGTTTACAAGCTTTTTGGGGTTTATAAGTTCTAGGGGGCCCAAAGAAATTCCAACCACCCAAACGTAGTCTTTTTCAGTAAAGAGATTTAGGGAAAATGTTTTTAACTTTTCCCACCTTTTCAGTTTTGAGAAGTTTTGGACCTCTGGGAACTCTCTTTGGCACGAGTAAATGACTTCTGTGTGTGTGTCAAAGATGTGCCGTTTGCTCTTCTGAAAACATCTGCACATTTTACCAGTTGCTGTTTGTTAAGCGAATGGTCTGAAGAGTTGAGGCCATGTCAGAACAAAGAGCACTTTAAAATATCAAGCAAAGCAAAGAGTCCTGTAATGGCAAAGCATTGTATGAAAATGCAGTTTAAATTTGTTTTAGGCCCCGTGGCTATAAGGCCTAAATCATATATGCACAAGCAACCTTGTTTTGATATATAGGAATTGTGCTTGATGTTACAGTATTGATTATCTTTTAAGTTTTAAATAAGGAGAACTGTTGGAAAAAGGATTTCTTATGAGACTTGATTACTTTCTTAAACTGTATTTGAAATAAATTTAAATGACTTTTCTTTTTTTCCAGGATGGTGAACACACATAGAAGATCATCAGAACCGTGTACAGTTTGCATTTGATTTAAGAGCTTGTAAGAGCACTCATCATGGAGAAACAGCAGATTGTCTTGAGTAACCGGGATGGTGGGACTGTGTCTGGTGCAGCACCTGCTTTTTTTGTCATCTTGAAACCGCAGCAGGGAAATGGTAGGGCTGACCAAGGAATCCTCGTCGCAAATCGTGATGCTTATGCTCTCGCCAGCAGCGTATCTTCTCCAGTGAAATCCAAAATCAAGACCTGCCTCCCAGCTGACTGCGTCTCAGGGGGTGTTACTGTCACTCTGGATAACAATAGTATGTGGAATGAATTCTATCATCGCAACACAGAGATGATCTTGTCGAAGCAGGGCAGGCGCATGTTCCCGTACTGCCGATACTGGATTACAGGTCTGGATTCCAGTCAGAAGTACATCCTGGTCATGGACATATCCCCTGTGGACAATTACCGATACAAATGGAATGGCCGTTGGTGGGAGCCCAGTGGGAAGGCAGAGCCGCATGTTCTCGGGCGAGTGTTTATTCATCCAGAATCCCCTTCCACTGGCGAGTACTGGATGGGCAAGCCGGTATCTTTCTACAAACTCAAACTTACCAATAATACCCTGGACCAGGAGGGTCACATAATCTTGCATTCTATGCACCGTTACCTGCCTCGGCTTCACTTGGTTCCTGCAGACAAAGCCACAGAAGTCATTCAGCTCAATGGCCCTGATGTCCACACATTTACCTTTCCACAGACGGAGTTCTTTGCAGTTACAGCCTACCAGAACATCCAGATTACACAGCTGAAAATAGATTACAATCCTTTTGCTAAAGGATTCAGAGATGATGGGCTGAATAGTCGTCTTCAGCGTGATTTGAAACAAAACAGTAACTTAGAATTGGAAGGAGGTGATGGTTTTAGCGCTGCTAGCATTCATGGTCACCCTGCTGAAGTAGATGCATTAGATTTGCGCCAGAGAAGCTTAGATTCTTCATTTGTTGGCCAGAACCCATCAGACGTTGATCTGGACAGAGAGTCCTTTAATGCAGAAAGGGAATTCCTGAGTTTCCTGCACACTGATCTGTCTTCGGATGAGATGCCAAAGCTAAAGCAAGAAGTCTCTGAAAGGTGGGTTAACATTCTCTTTTTAGCACAAATACTGGTTGAACAGTAAAACATCAAATGATAGGATGCTCAGAAGTGAGATTTACAGCTAAAGTTTGCCTGACCTGAAAAGGCAGAACGCTTGGTACTGGTAAAAGCTTTTCTTTGTTTAAACGGTCATCTGTCCATGTGGACTTTGTAATGTGTCAGGGGACTGTAAGAGTTCAGTATTTTTTCCTATGTTACTTGTTTGTGAAGAACTGTTGAGGGATTTCTCTTAACCCTCTTAGCATTCTGGAAGGTTAAATTTAATTTTTTGGAGTTTTAAACCGAGTACATTGCAGTCATTGATAAAATGCTTTTATTTTTTTAGATTGTTGCCCACAGTGACATGCTGTCTTTGTATCTTCAGTTTTCGTTAGCGGATGGGTGAGGGTGTGTATGGGTGTTTAGGTTGGCTATGTGAAGGGACTGCTAGAAGGCAGTTGTAACTGGCAGCATGCCACTGTTTTGTCAGTAACTGCTTCTGTGAACTCTTACTCTGCAAAGCAGTACGAGGTAGCCTGCCTGTTGGCAGTTGCTGTGAGGTAAGAGAATCTGCACCTAGGGAGGGACTTTGGAATCACTGTTACAGTGTTCAGACCTTAATTTACACTGCGGTAATTTTGTCTTTGTTCTTATCCAGTGTTTGTGTAGGTAAAGCAAGCCTGGTGAAACCTATTGTTTTGCACTTTCACTTAGTTTCCAAAATCCAAGCAACAGAATAGAGCAGGTTTAGTGAATAGTTAATCTGTGTCAAGAGATGCTAAAAATAATAATCACTTCTTCAGGTTCAAAGTATTTATTTTTAAAGAGATTTCTTTCTTGCCATGTTTCTTCATATCTGTCTGTGAGTACCACATGCACCAAGGTTGGAGTTGCAGAAGCAGCCTTATGTAGCTCAGTGCACCAAGAAAATATTTACCTGATTAGAAACTTTTTCTTAGAGGAGGAGAAGTTGTATTTGTGACGTAACTATACAGCTTATTTCAAAGGCTGTATTACAGTACTGCGTCAGTGTGTTTTAGAGAGGACAGCGGTGTGCTCAGTTGTTTCCTTTCTTTGCAGAAAGCATCTCCTGGCATTTTGAATAGCGGAAAGACTTCACATTATGAAGTTCTCCGTTTTTTGAGACTTCCTTGAGTTTAGTTGTAATAATTTTTAAGAATACTGGAGTTGATTTGGAGTGTAGAGTGCCCTGAACTTTCTTTGCAGTAGTTTCTGGTGTGAGTGTACTAGGAATAAGAGTGTCTCCTAGACTTTGTATATTCTCCAAAAATGATGTCAATTCACAAGAAGCACATCTTGGAGACTGAAAGTACACTCATTTCAGAGAGAATGGGCTTCCTTAGTTCTTAAGAGTTACAGCATGGAGAAGTGTTTAGATCAAGTTGTGTATTGGAAGTAAACCAGTAAAACTCTGAAAATAATTACTGAGAGGTTTATTTTGTCTTGAAAGTGATACAGTTTTGTTTTTCTCTGTGGGGTCAGCAGGCATTGAAAAAAATAAACTTTTGCTCGTTGTCTTGATTTCTTTTTGTCTAAAATGTGTTAGGTGCCTTCCGTGGTTTCACTTCCAAGACCATTTATCTCTGAAATGTGCTAAAAGCTGCAGAGACAGGGGAAGATTGAAGGTTTTTTTCTGTATTCTGGGCTAGGAAGCATCTGTCACTTGATGAATAAATGTTACCGCAGTCCTGGAACTACCCTCAGGCATTGTCCAGCTTTTTGTTTTATGTTTTTGTAATATGTGTGAAAGAATCAGATTCAGTAGTTGGAAAAATAAAAATTGGTCTCATGTAAGAGATGGCAGAACTGTCCTTTTATGTGCTGGAGTTTTACAGAACATTGGTTGCCCTTTTTCCTTCAGATCTGTTGAGAATGTTTTCATACCGTGTGATTAGATCCATTCATAAATGTGTCAGCCTTTCAAGGTCAGTGTGGAATGAGTGGCATTTTTCTTTATCAAGAATGGGTGGTACCTCAGTCTAGTCAGCATTGAGCTTATGGTTTGCAGTATATGGAGTAAAAGAACGTGTCTAGAACTCTCATTTTTACAGCAGGACTTCTTTGTTTTGGATGCTGTCCAGATCTCCAGATCCCTACCAGAAAGGTAGTCCTTGGCTTGAGTGTGTGTTTTGCAGTAGATAAAGGAAAATGGCTAGAGAAATCTAGGTGTTACTGGGCTTCCAACTGGAAACAGGAGAACTCGGATGAGAAATTTATTCCTGGACAGCAAATAAACCAGTGGGTTGGGTTTGGGGTTTTTTTGGTCTTTTTATTTTAGAGAATTTTATGGTAGAGGAGCAGATGACTCAGATCTTAACGGCATTCACTTCATTGGTGAATCTGCTGTACGGAATCAGCCTCTAGCTGGAATGTGACAGGATTTTAAGTAGCACATAACCTGTAAGTGGATTGTCTTAGAATTTCTTTCACAGTAAACTCACTGAAGAAGAAAGGCTTTTTAATGTCAGATTCAACAGCCTGTGTAACATTTGACATTTTTAACTAAATGAAGGCTAGAAAGTTTCTAACAGCAAACTTAGTGTCCAGAGAAGGCAGTAGACAAAACAGCACTGGTGTGCCACTGTCCTGCTGCCCACTGTTCCCACACAAGGCAAGTTTTTGCTTCAAGCTTAATTCTGGTTAGCCAGTGTCCTTCTGAAATGTGGCAGGTTTCCTAGATAGGTTCCATCTTGTTCTTAGGAATTCTATATGTAAAAATATAAATCTGTGTCTTGAGTGCCTGCTCCTGTTTTAGCGCTGCTGTCTTTCTTCATGATGTGGAGACTCCCAGATCCGTGTTGTGAGCGTTGTGTGTCCCAGTTTTTCTCCCTTAAGTACATCCTCAGTCTACAGGAGGCTGAAGCGGCCTCTTCCTCCACATCTTCCCCTCCCTCAATCCCAGCCAGGGTTTCATTGGAGCACAGTCATTCTCTGAGGGGCGTTTATGATGATGATACAATACACACGTGTACGCGTATATGCGTGATACGCAAAGGAATGGATTTTCCCTTTATACATATAATACATTATTAACATTAAATTATATGTGCAGTTATGTTAGCATTAACTAACATTAACAAATGTTGTTTTTAATAGAATTCTAATAACATATGGTTAACAGAATTTGAAAATCATTTAACCTTTAAAATTATATATAGTATCTTACACATATAAAGGAATATCAGAACACAGTCTGATATGTTTAGTCAATTGGTTCTGACTTTCTGAAGTTTATTGTGGATGTGATTGCCTGGTTTTATATCTTAGCTGTTTCTTCTTATGATGAACCAGGTTCTGATGCACTTAACAAAACTGCTGACTGCAATTTTTTGACTGATGTGTATGGCCCTCAAAGAAGCCTATCACCAGAGCAGAGCTTCCTGCACCATTGATTTTCAGTACCTAATGCGTGATATGTCAAATTCTGCTTAGGTTAATACTCACTTAGTGAAAGATGGAGCATATATCAATAGGGTATTAACATTAGAATAACATTTTAATTTAGGAATTCTCTGTGGCTTTGGGATGAATTAACTGAAGTTTTAGTTAAATCATGTAAATGGAAGTGCATTAAGCACTCATTTGGCTTCTTATTTGAAGTACATTGGCATTAGTAAGGTGACTTAATGAGGTACACAGCCAACAAAGGCCACTTCTGAGGGTTCAAAACATAATAGCTTAGCATGTGTTCATGCTGAGTCTCAAACAGGAAAGTGCAAATGTCACCCTGGTATTACTAGGGAAGGAAATTGTGCTGCTGCCTTCAGATAAGAAGTTGGTATTGTTTTTAACGATGGCAGGTTTTTTTTTTTGAGTGCTTACTTCTAAAAATGTAGGATTGTAAATGACAGCTTATTTAGCAGACTTGTGTCTCACAGCAGTTTGGAAGTTTATTGTAATACGTAACCAAGGATTATGAGAGATGACAGAATTTAGGTAAAGGAAGACATTTGATAAAGATCTTGTATTGTGTTTTGTTTCTGTCCCCTTCCTCCTACCCAGTCCCATTGCCAGCAGTTACGAAAGCAGTTCCCGTGTGGCATCCCCATTGGACCCAAATGGGCACTTTAATGTAGTCGTTAAAGAGGAGCCAGTGGATGACTATGACTACGCGTCAAGTATTAGCACACAAGGAGTAACTGTTAAACAGGAGGACACAGATGAAGAAACTGATGAGTATTCCAACACTGATGATGATGATCCCATCCTACAAAAACACCTTGTGAGACGCAGTGAAGCAGATGGAATTGATGGAGAATTCAAGTCCAGGAAGCGTATACTAAGCAGTCCTTCAGGTGTTGCCAAAGCAAAAATGTTAAAACTGGATAGTGGGAAGATGCCTGTAGTCTATTTGGAACCTTGTGCAGTCACAAAGAGCACAGTGAAGATTTCTGAGCTGCCACAGACCATGCTCTCCTCTTGCAAGAGGGATAAATCCCCTTTGAGTGCAATACTGGACTCCATGCCTGTGTGTCTTGAAAATCACAAAGGCTCTTTCTCAGACACAGCCACTGTGACTGAGGACTTAGTTGTGAAAAAACAATCTCCTGGGAGTAAAATATCACAGAGATACTCTTCAATCAGAGAGGCCCAGTGGGGTCTGTCTAAATCACCTAATTTTAGTCTCAGGGGCTCAGTAAGTTGTCACTTTTCAGCTAAAGAGATCTGTGGAAGAAAAAGGCCTGGCATACTGAAGAATCCTATATCCCTGAAAGGTTCTGGTAGCAATCAAAACACCCTATCATCAGTTACAACTAAAAGAGGAAGGCCACGGAAACTGAAAATTTCCAAGGCTGGTCGACCGCCCAAAGGTATAGGGAAAACTGTAATAAGCAAGAACACCTCTCTTGGGCCTGGGAGTATCCTTCCAGATGTTAAGCCAGACCTTGAAGATGTTGATGGAGTCCTCTTTGTGTCCTTTGCATCAAAGGTAAAAACCTAACTGTTTTAAGTAAAATTGAAAACCTTTTCTAATGTCTCATTTTTAAGCCCTTTGTACTTACTAGCTGGAGGTATATTTCCTCTTAAACTGAATTCTGAGCTTTGTCACCTGTTACCTTGTCCATCCGTTAATCATAACATTTTCTTACTTAGCAGCTTAGGGAGGAATAGTGGGATCTAGAGTTCTGTGTGGAAGAATGTATACTTGTTTGTTAAATAGTCTGATGTTTTGAATATTTCAGTTATTATTTTGATGTGGCCTAGTTTGCATCTAGGTCAGTGTTTTAAGGTATCTTTATTCAAGGCTCTTTATGTGTGTAGGAAGCGCTTGACATTCACACTGTTGATAGACCTGGAGGAGAGGAGTCACAGAATCTTCAGGCTCCCTTGTTGACTACAAATGATCCAGGTACATTTTTATGCTATTTTTAAGTGGCTATTCCGTACAATAAGGGAATTTGTAAAGACACATTGGAAGATAAATAATTTCAGTAAATTTTTTGCACAGTAAATATTTTCACAGAATGGTGGGGGTTGGAAAGGACCTCTGAAGTTCATCTAGTCAAACACCCCTGCTAGAGCAGGATCACCTAGAGCAGGTTGCACAGGATAGCATCCAGGTGGGTTTTGAGTATCACCAGGGAAGGAGACTCCACAGCCTCTCTGGGCATCCTCTTCCTGTGCTCTGACACCCTCTCAGTAAAGGAGTTTTCCATCATGTTCAGTCTAAACTTCCTTTGTTCCAGTTTGTGCCCCATGTCCTGTTGCTGAGCGCCACTGAAAAGAGTCTAGCTCCGTCCTCTTGTCACCCACCCTTCAGATACTTAAAAGCATTGATAAGGTCCCATTGATAAGGTCCCTCAATCTCCTCTTCTCCAGGCTAAACTGACCCAGCTCTTTTAGCCTTTCCTCATATGGGAGATACTCCAGTTCCCCCATCATCTTAGTGGCTCTACACTGGGGTCTCTCCAGTAGTTCCTTGTCTTTCTTGAAGTGAGTGGTCCAGAACTCAACACAGCACTCCCGATGTGGTCTCACCAGGGCAGAGTAGAGAGGGAGGATAACATCTCTTGACCGGCTGACCACACTCTTCTTAATGCACCCCAGGATGCCATTGGCCGCCTTGGCCAGAAGGGCACATTGCTGGCTCATGGTTAACTTGTCATCCACCAGGACTCCCAGGTCCTTCTCTGCAGAGCTGCTTTTCCAGCAGATCACCCCTAACCTGTACCAGTGCATGGGGTGATTAATCCCCAGATGTACTCTACACTTGCCTTCATTGAACTTCATTAGGTTCTTGTCTCCAACTTCCAACTCTCCAACCTGTGCAGGTCACGCTGAATGGCAGCACAGCTTTCTGGTGTATCAGCCACTCATCCCAGCTTTGTATCATCAGCAAACTTGCTGAGGGTACACTCCCTTCATCCAGGTCATGTATTAATTATTGAACAAGACTGGACCCAGTAGTGACCCCTGTGGAACACCGCCAGCCACAGGTCTCCAACTAAACTGTGCTGCTGATCACAACCCTCCGAGTTCTCAATCCACCTCACTGTCTGCTGTCTGACCCACAGTTCCTAAGCTTACCTATGAAGTTGTTATGGGAGACAGTGTCAAAAGACTTGGTGACATGCTAAACATCCACTGCTCTCCTGTTGTGTACTCAGCCAGTCATGCCATCATAGGCAGCTATCAGATTGGTCAAGCATGATTTCCCTCTGGTGAACCCATGTTGACCACTCCTTATAACCTCCTTTTCTTCCACATGCTAAGAGATGACATCCAGAATGAGCTGATCTGTCACCTTTTCAGGGATGGAGGTGAGGTTGAACAGCCTGTAGTTTCCTGGGTCCTCCTCCTTGCCCCTTTTTGAAAACCGGAGTGACACTGGCTTTCCTCCAGTCCTCAGGCATCTCCCTTGTTCTCCATGACCACTCAAAGATGTTGGAGAGTGGTTTAGTGTTCTTGCTTTCTTCTTTTTTTTTGAGTAGATTGTCAAGCAAGAATACAAGTACTGGAAAAGGAATTGATGGAAGAGCTGAAGACCTTGAGGCATAAGCAAGTGATACATCCCAGCCTTCAGGAAGGTAAGCGGGCAGTGTACATATTATCATAAAATCATTGAATGGTTTGAGTTGGAAGAGGCCTTAGAAATCATCTAGGCCAACCCCCCTCCCATGGGCAGGGACACTTTCTATTAGACCAGTTTGCTGAAAGCCCCATTCAACATGGCCTTGAATATTGTTGCATCTGGTTGTATATTACACTTAATTGTACTGAGTTGATGATTTCCTACTGGATGATAATACTATGAATGCCCAGTACAGCTGGGATCTGATGTTGGTTTGTTTGTTGTTTTTGTGGGTTTTTTTTCAAACACAGGAAATTGCACAGTTGTGGATATACTACACTTAATCCTACTGAGTTGAAGATTTCCTACTGGATGATAATACTATGAATGGCCAGTACAGCTGGGATCTGATGTTGGTTGGTTTGTTGTTTTTGTTGTTTTTTTTTTTCCAAACACAGGAAATTGCACAGTTGTGGATATACAATATGAGTGTATGAAGGGAAATTTGTGTGAAAGTATCAGGTTCCATCTTGCCACTTGTGGCAGTGAGAGAAAATCTATGGTGTCTGACCCAGTTTTTTTTCTTAGAGGCTTTAAAAGTAGTTTCAGCCATCCAGCAATGATATTTTAATTTTCACGTGTTCATGTTGCAAAATAGAAAAGATGGAGGTGGCAGAAGATGAATCCTACATCTCCAACAGTAGAGCAGGAGGCTGCATGTCATTTGCCTCTTGCAGAAGATACTGAGCCTTCAGACTTCAGGCTGTGCCTGTTTTGTAATGAGCCAATCCTCAGAGAGAGCAGATGGAGATGATTTTACTCCTCCATAGGAAACAGTCATTTTCTGGTAGTATAGGAGCTGGAGATCCAGAAACACTGAACTGAAACTGCATTTGCTGTGCTTGAGTCTGTTTATTTGAGTCACTGTAGATCCAGGTTCACTAGCTGCTCAAGAGGTTCAAGCAAGGTACTTCTAGCTTGTGATCTTTCGCTTACATACAATATTATCCTGAGGTCAGATGGAAGAAAGTCAAAGACCAACATAGCAGAACTTAATGTTCCCTCTGCTGTTGATGTTGAAGTCTTCAGCAGCAGTAGTCCTGAGACTGATGGCATTAATGTAAGCATCAGAGCAGAGGTGAAGAAATTGGTGCAAATGGAAGTGATGTGCCTCGTGCTCTGGAGGTTCTGGCCTTGAATTTTTCAAACGTAGCTGGAATGCTGCCGGGTTTGTGGCTCCCAATGCTGATCTTGACTCTGATAATAGTTATTTTGGGTCTTCACAGAGCTTCTACTGTGAAGAACCGTGGATTATCTTAAATGGTTTATGCATGGGGTATGATGAGAACTAGCCTGTCATTTTTTGCAGCCATTTAATGGGCTGCCTTTTCATCTTGCTAGTGTTGAGCTGACACCCCTGTCTTCCACCTTTGCAAAAGGGTCATAAGAAGGATAGTAGGGATCTGTTAGAGCTGTCCTGCTTGTGGTGGGAATATAACAAGATAACCCGTTCCCAGCCAGGTTGTACCTCAGTGCTGTAGCATCAGTGTTGACAGCGTATCTTGGATCTCAAAATGCAGTTTCCCCTCCAGTGACTGCAGAAATAGGCAGCCCTATTTTCTAATTACCTCACTGGCCAACCTGCCCTCATAGGTCTGCGTGTGTTGTCATATTAAAAAAAAAAGTGCTAAAATCCCTTTTGTGGTCAGCTGCTGGCAATGCTAGGTACAGCATTAAGCAAATGTTACAGCACTGTTAAGGCTTTTTAGGACTATATTGTGGGCCTCCTAAATGTTTTCTTTACCCAAGCAAAGTACAATAAAATTACGGTGTGTTGGCATCCACAACGCTAGCAAGGGCTGGTTTACTCTTGAGTTAATCCTGCAACTGGGAATGTGTAAAACCCACATGCTTTTTCTCCAGCTTCTAAATGAGTGGTGGTGAAGTGTGTGGTACTTTGTGAAAGGTGTTGAGCAGTTCAGGGTTACTATAAATGGAAAAGGAAAGTCAAGCCTCAGGCTAAGAAGAAGATGATCTGAAGAGTTCTGACTTTCTTGAATGCTTGTGACTGTTATTTCCAGTGTTGGATGGAAATCTGCTGTGCCTGTTAAATGGTGAAACTGTAATTCAGCAATGAAGAGAATGACTCACCTGTCTGATTTTTAGAGGGAAGTTACATGAAGGCTCTTTGTAGCAAGAGCATTACTACAGATAGATTCAGATCTAATTTGATCAGGCTGAGAAGTGAATTGCAACACACACACTTTTTGTTAGACATCAGCTGCTGCATGTGAATTGGAATTGATCTTTGTTCAGGTTACCTTTGCCTTTCAGAAGGTTACAGATCTATTGCCTTCCATTGCAGACTTGAGATCAGGGAAGGAACACGATGATGTTAATAGAGAGAGGGATTGTTGTGCTTTTTGTGTGGTGTTTTTGTGGTGTTTTTTTTTTTCTCTGTCTCCACAGTATCATCAGTAAGGCCTAGGAAGGTGGCTGGGGAGTGCCTCTAGGCCAAACTTAAGGGCTATATCTTTTCCCAGACATAATGATAAGTAGCATCATGGAGTTTGATGCAGCCTCTTTAGCCTTCTTAGTTTTGATACCTGTTCTCCAAAATTTCTTGGCCATAAATCATGACTAATAGCTCTGTGTGATCTACAGAACAGGCAAAGGGACATGACTCCTTTTTGTCTGGAAGATGTGAAGTGCCTATTTCTCAGTGTGCTTTGAGCCATTTTGTAGAAGCTTGCTGGCTTTCCTGCAGTATGGGAAATGGACATACAGCAATTTTGATGCTAACTCTGCTTTTGGTTTTGAACTATGTAGTTGATGAGTTTCTTTTTGAGGTTCACTGATGATGTATTGGAGCTGTACCTGCACCCCACGATTGTTGTTTATTTGTGAAGTTAAGTAAA